CTCCATGGCTTCTGGGGGCATCTATGTCCACCCATCCATCCCTGCAGACGTGCAGCCCTGAGCCCAGAGCCCTCTGGTCTGCTCTGACCCTTCCCCTCCTCCCCTCTCCCCACCCACGGGAGGGCCACTACCTCCCTCCCTCTCTCCCCTGAGGAGTGGGCCAAGGCCAAAGGGAGGAGGAGGGGGCAGCTCACCCTAGTGCAGACCAGCAGAGCACTCCTCACCAGGAGGTGGGAGGTGGCTCAAGCCAAAGTCCCTGAATTAGAGGAAAGAGGAGGGGAAAGGGGTCCCAGAAGCAGGGGCGGCTGGCCTAAAGAGCTTCAAAGAAAAAAAGGGGAGCACCAACCACCCCCTCCCTGGGGCCCTAACGAAGTGCCACTTATCTGAACACCCCCACTCCTGGTGCCTGCCTGCCCAGAGTCTGGGTTAGTGCATTGAGTGGGAGTGGGGAAGGAGGAGGGCAGAGTTAGAGAGAGCCCAGAAGACAGAGGGGAGACAGGGAAACAGAGTCCTAAAGAAGTGGAGGCTCTGGGAGATGCTCACGCACAGCCCCCCGCCCCCCACACAGCAGCATCTGGATTGTAGCTAATACTGCAGGATATGAGGAGGGCAGGAGGTTGAGCCACAGTTTTTCCTGTGTGGGTGCCAAGGTGTGGAAGGAGGGGGCACAGGGAGAGGCCCCTGGGGCTGGGCACTTGAAAGGGGAGCTGTGCGGGCAGCAGGGCAGGCTGGTGAGGGGCCAGCTGGCATCCAGCGTGAGAGGTAGATGGAACTCAGCGGGCACAAGTGGCAGAGAGCAAGGAAGTACTGGGCGGGGGTGCCAAAGGGGCACAGAGGGAGGGGCAAGGCAAGGGGGGTGGCCAGGACCCTGTTGTGTTTACTCACAGCTCTGAACGGCAGCCCTACCCTTGGGGAGCTCATGTGGGGGCGTGTCTCTCTGATGTGGGGAGGAGGGGCAGCTCTCAAAGTGCATGGGGTGGTAAGGGGGGTCCTTCCCCTCTGGCCAGCCTCAGTTAATAACTTAATATCATCTCTCTCTTGCTCTCTCTTCTGCTTGTTTTCTCTTTTTTGTCTTTTTTCTCTGTCTAGTTTTTCTTCATTTATCTTCTCCCCTTGCTTGGTTTCCAAAGTGCAGTTAGATGACTATAATTTTTAACCTCCAGGGGAGGACCCAAGCCAAGCTGTTCTTTGCACCCAGGTATCTGGGGGAACAGAGAGGCCCTCGGCCCAGAGGGGACCCCTAGGCCAAAGAACTGGGTGGGGGGGCTCTCTCGTTTGTAGGGGTGCGGTGAGGGCATCTTCCACCCGCCCGCATTCCTCCTTCCCCTACTGTCAAGATGGCTCTTCCCCTCTTCGTTCTCCTTCCCTCCCCCTACCTTCTCAGAGGACAGGGGTCCTGGGAGCTGCAGGACGTGGTGCCCTGACCTCCCACACTTCTCATACCAAGTTCATTTGTTTGCCCTGTCCCAGGGCTGGAGGTTCTGAGGAGGGACAGGGGCAGTGTGGGGGTGTGTGTGGGAGCTGAATCTATCCAAGGATGAGAGGAAGGAGAGAAGAGGTGTAGGGGGTCTCCCTCAGCCCCCGGATCTGCCCCTTCTCTCCAGGCTCCTCCCCACCAGCTCCGCACACCCTCTGGCCGCCTGAGGCTTTAGACTTCCTGATCCTCAAAGACCTCGAGGAAGAGTGGGGGGAAGAGTTCGGTGGGGCACTCGACTTTCATGTGGAGGAAGCGGCTGGCGTGGCAGGCCCCGATCATGCGGAGGTCAGTCACCTTCATCAGCAGCTTGGGCCAGAAGTGCGGAATGTTGTGTTTGCGGTGGTTGACGTAGTGCTCGAACGCCAGCAGGTACGCCTCCTGACTCTTCTCGATCTTGTCCACACACAGCAGGCCCGAGCGGTCTACAGAGAGGAAGGCAGGAGGGCTGAGTGGCCGAGGGCGTAGGAGGCGAGGGGAGGGTGAAACATGGCACAGGGCCAAGAAAAAGCCACAGGGAGACAGAGGCAGAGAGGACAGAGTGAGGGAGGACACTGGACTAGCCCATGTTGGGCAGTTAAGGTGGCTGAATCCCACATGGCTGACTGCATAGCTCAAGTCCTGGACCTGGCAGCTTGAAAAACACACCAGGTACGAATCCATGCATGCCCAAAAATCTCCAAAGTAAGGAGAAATGGAGGAGAAGGGATTGTGGGGTAACCATCCCCCTGGGAGTGTGCTTTCTCACTTTCCCAATCTCTCTCCCTGGTGAGCACATGCACCCAATCTCTGTCCCTGGTGAGCACATGTACCCTCTGGCAAATTAAAAGAAGAGAGGAAGAAGAAGAAAATCACACAAAGGGAAGGGGTTGAAGAGCAACCCCAAAGAGAGGTAGCCGAGGCCAGGAGAGGGCAGTGAGGAGCCTAGTGGTATGGAGGGTGCATCAAGAGGGCAGAGGGACAGAGAGGTGGGCATAAGGAGAGAGAAAACCTGGGGACAGGGGAGCGCTAGGGACAGTGAGAATGGCTGGTGTTGGGGGAGTAGAGACACGAGATGGTATTGAGAAAGGAGAGATATGGGTAGAAGATCGACGGGAACAAAGGGAAATGTGGACAACAGAGAGGATGGGGGAGAGACAGAATGGGGCAGAGACATAATGAACAGAGCTGAGATTGGATGGCAAAAGATGAGTTAGGAAGCAGAGTAGGGGACCAGTGACAGAGCAAGGGACAGGGAATGGAGACAGACCTGATGACAGAGAAGTAGCCTAAAAGAGAAGAGCTAGCACAGAGAAGAAGGTTTGGGGAGATGAGAACCTGAGAAGCAGAGAAAGACTATGAGTAAGTAAGGAAGAAAACAGCGGGCCTGGGTCCAGCCAAGCTCTGGGGCCCCTGGAAGCTTCTAAGGTCTCCCAGTCAATCAGCAGGTACCTGTTGACATTAGCAGCACAGCCTGCAGCAGAGCCACTTCCGTGTCATCCAGGTTAAAGGCAGAGAGTGACTTGCCCAGTTCAAAGATGGCATCGGAGACTACGCCCAGGCCACCATTCTTGAGCTGCTCCCGCTTGACGGCCATCTCTCCACTCAGCGTCAGGGTGTCGCTCTCAGGGTCATAGCGGACAGCTGCCCGCAGGGACATGATCTCCATGCAGCACCCCTTCAGGAGGATGATCTGGTCTTCGCAAGGCAGCTGCAGAGCGGCAGGGCCACAGGACCATTCAGCACACCCCTCCTCGCGTGCCTGAGTCTACCCCGTGGGTGCTCTTGGGTAGCTGCGAGGCTGGCTGGACCACCACTGGCCTCAGCCAGTAACATGATGTTCTGACCAGTTAACTTTGTGCTGGACCATATACAAGCCTGATTTCATTTAAACCTCATGGTCATGCCTGTGAGTTAGGTACCATCATTACCCCCAGCCCTACAGCAGACAAGAAAACTGAGGTGCAAGGGATCGAGTGAACCTGGTCAAGGTCACACAGCTGATAGAGCAGCCTTCTCCAGAGTTAATATACTACAAAATGAGAACTTTTGGGCTGCCAGGAGTTGAGATAACCATGTGGACTCGAGGGGAGAGAGCAGGAAAGTGGGCTCTTGGAGATGTTGGTTCCTTAGGCCAATCAGCCCTGGGTGTGTGCTGGCTGTGTGTGTGTGTGTGTGTGTGTGCATGAAAACATGCTGGGTGTGCATGTGTGTACATGTTGAGTACATGTGTGCATGCCTGTATATGTGCATGTTAGATGTGGGCGTGGGTGTAATGAGTGTGTGCTGGCTCTGCATGCATCTGTGTGTGCATATGCATGTTGGATGTGTGCATGCATGCACGTGCATGTGTGCATGTGCCTGCTAGGTGTGTATGTGTGTGTACCAGGAGTGTATGCATGTGCATGCTGGGTGTGTGCGTGCATGCGCCTGCTAGGTGTGTACATGTGTGCACTAGGAGTGTATGCATATGCATGCTGGGTGTGTGCATACATGAGTGTGTGCTGGGTCTGTGCGCATGTGTGTGTGTGCATGTGCTTGCTAGGTGTGTGTGTGTGTTCGGAGTGCATGCATGTGCACACTGGGTGTGTGTGCATGTGCACGCTGGGTGTGTGTGTGCATGTGCCTGCTAGGTGTCTATGTGTGTGTGCTAGGAGTGTATGCATGTACATGATGGGTCTGCGTGTGCACATGTGTGTGCGTGTGCCTGCTAGGTATGTACATGCATTGCTAGAAGTGCACACATGTGCATGTGTTGGGTCTGCACATGCATGTGCATACATGAGTGTGTGCTGGGTTTGTGCACGCATGTGTGTGCATGTGCATGCTGGGTGTGTGTTCATCTACAGGAATTGGTCCCTGTCCAGAGAACCTCAGACATGTCAGGACTGGGAGAACTGGAGAGCAGTCCCAGACTTCCCTCCATGTCTCTCCTCACATCTGTCACTTACCTCGGAGAACATGGGCAGTTTTTTGGCAAAGTCCACCACACGGGTAATGGCCGGGGTGATGATCTTGGTAAACTCGCTGAAGGCCTCTAGGTCCACCTTGTCTCCATCCGGCATGGAGACGATGGGTGACTGGCCAATGTCATCCGGCTGCAAGGAGAGATGAGGGTCAGCAGGGGTTGCAGACCCCTTTTAACCTCTCACTAAGGCTCCCTGCCCACCAGGGGGAGCTCCAAGGCAGCTTGGGGAATTGGGCCCACCAGTACCTGTGGCCCAGCCTTAAGGCTTTTCTTTTACTGTGGGGCAGAGGACAGACCAGAGCCCAAGCTCCAAGTCTGTTAGGAAAAACAATGGTAATAACAGTAGTAGCAGTAGTGCAATAATAATAATAGCAGCTATAATGACCATCTAAGATGTGGTCAAGCATTAGGCTACATGCTTTAAATATCTCATTTAATCCTCACCACGCCCTATAGAGAAAAGATCATAATTATTACCATTTCGTAGATGAAGACGCTGAGGCCTAATGTAGCCAAGTAATAAGACCACGGTCATGTGACTAGTATGTGGTAGAACCAGGACTTGAACTCAGGCAGTCTGACTCCTGGCCATTCAAACACATCAGAGCACATGCTTTTTTTTTTTTTTTTTTTTTCAATAGGGCGCGTGTGCTTGCCAGAAAGACAGAGAGAGACAGAGTGACAGAAAGCGAGAAATCCCCCCCCAGGGGGTTGGCCATGCCACAATCCCTTCTCCTCCATTCTCCTCTTGGGATCTTGGGCATGCACACACACATGCCTGGCATGAGTTTTGAACCACCAGGTCTGGGACTCGAACTGCGGTCGACTTCATGGGAGTCCAGCAACATAGCCATTACACTAACTGCTGGTCCCAGAGCACATGCTCTTAACCTATGCTGTTCCACTTGCTACACACTCCACCAGTAATCAGTTTTCTGCCTTCCTCACTACATACAACCCACTGTCCCTAAACTGACCACTGCCTGGCAACCAGTTTTGCCAGGATCTGACATAATACCTCACATCCAGTGCTGCTCAAAAATACTGTTACATGTCTTCACCCTCCCAGTCACTGTGGACAGAGAGAGGCTGCCACACCCACTGAAAATCTGATGAGGAAGGGAAGGCCCTGTCCTCATGGAGCTTCCATTCAGTGGAACAGGCAGGATCCAGACAGTTTGACACAAACACAGGTGTACCAAGTCAGGACCTCCAACTGTGGCTTGGATTAAACCAAGAAGGTTTTCTGGAAGAGGCAAGCCTCTGAGCTTGCTTTCCGCTCCTGCTATTCTCCCCACGCCCTCTCTCCTTACCAGGAATTTCCGCCTCTGTTTCCAGTGACTGCCCTGGGCATTAGTGCTGCGATGGGCCTCCGTGGCAACGTGGATCAGATCCCACTCTTCAGGAGTGGGCTCTGGTCGCTGCTGCAGTGATCGGATCATCTCCTCCTTCCGCCGCCGCTCTCGATTCTGCTCGATCAGCTTGCGCTTGGCTACTCGCTTCGAGTCATCTAGAACCACTATCAACAGAGAGATGCAAGGCCCTTTGCACGCATCCTCCATTCCCTTTCCACAGTCCTCTCAGAAACTACTCTTCTGAGTGTACAGATGGGGTAAACCAAGAGCCAGAGAGGTTAAGTGACTTCCCAAATCATCTAGCAGTTGGGTTGCACAATCTGGATCACCATGAATCACCAGGACCAGGTCAACCCCAATATTGGTTGATCCAGAAAATACCATTTTCTGATCCAAGGTAGAGGTTACTAGAAAGGTTGTGCTAACCAATCCCTAACAAAGAAAGAGGCCCTTTCTCATCCAGAACTAAAGTGCCTTCCCTGGGAGTCAGAAACTCTGCACTATGAAGGATGCTCAGGAATCCTTTCCACCCAGCAGTTCCCCAAGGCTCATGAGTGGCAACAGGAAGGAGGCATTGGGGCCTCTGTGTAGGGCCCACCTAGGGTTGAGGGTAGCAGGGACCAAGACTCTGACCTGGACTGGACTGTCACTTTGTCCTGTGTGTCCTGTGGGTACCCGGGAAGGAAGCCGCCATCCCTGAGCTCACCCCCACGTGCCCCCTTCAGCCCGTGGCCATGCCCCTTACAGTCCATGGCCATGCCCACAGCGATGCACTTCTTGAAGCGGCACAGCTGGCACTGATTGCGGGTGATCTTGTCGATGACACAGCAGCTGTCATACTTGCAGGAATAGGTGGGATGGAGGTTCTTCTGGATTGTGCGGCGAAAGAAGCCCTGGGGCGGGGGGAGACGGAGCAGGCAGTGGTCATGACTCTCCCTTCCTGAACCAGCCATGCGGTTCACTAGGGAGGTGGTGAGCGAGGCGAGATCAGTGAGGGAGCCTGGCATCCCCCTGACACTGCAGGCCCGGGATCACTGGGCTTTGCCAGGCCAAAGAGCCTGAGAAATACATGCCCTCAGCCCACAGGCTGCTGAGGGACAGGAGGTGCCCTGGGGTCAGGGATGCCTGGGGAATGGTGGTGGCAGGGGTAGGGATGATGGGTGTGGGGAGCTTTGGGCCTAGGATGGTATGAGACACTGTGAGACTTTGGAAATCCGATTCATATCTTATTTTCCATCTTGCTAAATGGCTTTAAATACCATTCTTAGACATGTTGCCTGTTGTCCATGCAGGGGGAATTCATTCATGAAACAGAGGAACTAAAAAGTTTTTTAAAAGGTTTTGGATATCAACTCTAGTAGCTTGAAAATAAAATTTTCAATTCTGTATTATCAACATCAGTCTTTGCTTTAAAGGAAAATCCCCAAACATCAAGGTGGTAGCAATAATATGAAGAGCTAATATGTGCTGAAGGTTTACTATGTGCCAGGTACTCAGTAAAAGATAAGCCTTTTCTTTCATGCCTCATCACATTTGACTCTCATGACAGCCCTAGGAGGTGGGACTATTACTGTCTCCATTTGGCAGACTAGAAAACTGAATTTTGCAGAGATCAAGAAATTTGCCCAAAGCCATGTGGATAAAGGGGTAGGAGAGCCAGAAGTGGGCCTTAGATTTGGGACACTAAGGCCTATGCTCTCAGATTCTGGGGTGCATTAAGATTACCCAGGTGGGGCCGGCAGGTGGCGTGGTGGTTAAGGGCACTGGACTCCCACATGGCCGACTGCAATTCAGGTCCCAGATCTGGTGGCATGCTTTTTCACTTTCCCCTCTCTCTCACTCTCTCACTCTGTTCCTCTCTGGTCAAATAGAAAGAAAGAAAAGAAAGGTAGAAAGAAAGAAAGAGAAAGAAAGAGAAATTAAAAAAAAAAAATCACCCAGGGCACTTACCAAAGATATGAATTCCTAGGCCTTGCCCCGACTTACAAAATCAAATGTTGGGAACCAGCAGTTAGCATAATGGCTATGTTGCTGGACTCCCACGTAGTCGACCACGGTTCGCGTCTCGGATCTGGTGGCTTAAAACTCACGCTGGGCCACTGTTGCGGCG